ATTGATAATTGTCGCTAACCACACGATTCTCGAAGCTGAACATATAATCATAGAAAAGATTGATACTCAATATTGAACACTTAGAGGAGGTCGATAAAAGTGAACGCGGAAGATCCATTCAAGATGACATGGTTCGACCATACAGGCGTGGTCACACTATGTAAAACGTTCTGAATGTTGCATTAAATATATTATTTTTTGCCCAGGTCAAGTGCATTCTTAAAAAATATCAGGCGTTATATATCTGAATCTTGAGATACAACTAGTCAGGGTTGACAATGATCTGACTTCCATGTAAGATCTATCACCGGCCTGAATGAGTTTTTGAAAGGCCCTCGCAAACAATGTCACCGAATCCCGCCATAGGGTGGTTCGGAATGAGAAAATGGCGTGACAGGAGGATTTAGATAAGTCGGTAACACTGCCTCAGTTAAAATATCTAATGTTAGGGCTACTAGTCTAGTGGCAAGAGTAAACTGACTAATAAATATAGTAAGTATAAGCCCCATAGATATCCGACAGCCTGAATTAATTTCTTAATTTAGTTTGTATAGACAATGTGTGTCAGGAAATGAAGTTGATGTAGCGAGCACTCGATCCAGAATATCTTCGGGTTCTTTCGCAACGAGCAAGATACTGAGATCCCAAAATGATAATAAAGATCTGAATCTTGAAGGTCTGAGACGTCACTCAAGCCAAATATCATCCTGAAAGCCTTTTTATTCATAGAATGTGGTGTATGAACTGGAATGCTATGTTCAGTAGCCCCACAGACCATGAAGGGCATTACTTTAGAGAAGTGCCACTGTCTGTGACACACGGACGTCATGGGTATTGTATTGCGGATTATCTGTAGGCTTCTAGACGTATGTGTTAATAGTTCTATGCAAAAGTTTTAAGTCGACCGAAGCTCTATTTTCTTTCCAGGTATATTTCCAATCTGCTCGACTTAGGGCACCTCGACATTTTCGAATTGCTTTTTAAATTTGAGTGATTTTACACACATATAAAAAGACACCGATCACTTCAACGAAAACAAGTCTAGGGAGTTTCGTGTGGATATATAACCCCTGGCGGTGAGTGTGCTGAATAAATGAAGGTACGTTTTGGATTTTCTAGAACACTTATAAGACGTCTCATCTATCGTACTGGATCGAAGTAACTAGTTCATATTTTACTGATATACTGACACTCCTGAGCACGCCCGCCCAATGGGCAAATATTATGGATAAGTCTTTTCAATCCCCTCTTCGGTTTTAGTCTCTTGGTAACTGTTTCTGAACAATATAATGGCGTTCTTAGTCATGAAGGTACGATCCAACAAATGAAAGTTGATTTGATTGTGTCAAGCTAAGTTCTTCGGTATAGTCAGTTTTCAATCTTCAGTAGTAAGGACTGTAGGTTGGTGAACCTGTGTTAATCCTGACAGATCGTCTTCCAGTGAAGGTCCAACTTCTCCTTGAGAATATTCACTGATGGGGCTGATACCACTTGTTCGGGTAAGGCGTTCCAATCATTGACTACTCGATGAGAAAAACGGGACCCTACTTTAAGTTTATTAGATCGCGGTTTGTGAGCTTTCTTCCTATGACCTCGGAGATTATTAGTGCTGGAGGGAGCAAAAAGGTAGGACATACTAATATCCAAATCATAATTGAAGATACGAAATGCCAGTATAAGGTCACTTCGAGTCCTACGATAAGACAATGGGAAAAGGTTTAGGCGTTTTATACTCTCATCATAAGGGAGTTTAGAAAGACCCTTCACTAATTTCGTCCCCACATGCTGGACACACTCGATTGAGTTAGTATCCTTTGCCAGACATGTGTTAGGTGCTTGGATACAGTACTCTAAATGTGGTCTTACATAGGTGGGATAAAAAATTCGAAACATTTCCTCGCCAAAAGATCTGAACGCTCGTCGAAGTCACCATAACTCACGAAAACCTTTTACAGCGGCTGCATTGCAATGCGTAGTTGTTTTTAAGTCATGACTTACTATTACTCCTAAGTCCTTATGTTTTTGAACGCATAGAAGAGGTTTACCGTCAATAGTATAATGGTAACTATTACCGGGACCGATGTGCATTAGCACACTCTTCCTAGAATTACTTCCTCAGCCCCAACCTCGAGCCCATCTAACTAAATAGTCTCAGTCAGCTTGAAGATCCAGATGATCAGCTTCACTTTTTATTGTTCTCCAGATTTTTACGTCATCCGCAAATAATAATGTCGACGACTTAAGCAACAGCGGTAACTCATTTACGTAGAAAAGAAAGAGCAGAAGGCGTAAGATGGTGCCTTCGAGTACACCACTTTTGACCGGCTTCTAATCGGATAGCATCCCATTGACCCTCACTCTCTGTCTTCGGTCACATAAGAAGTTTCCTATCCACTCCTGTACATTAGCTATTATTCCGAAGCTCGTGAGCTTCTGCATGAGACCTAAGTGTGAAACCATGTCAAATGCTTTGCTAAAATCTATGAATATCACATTGACAGACAGATCTTTATCTAAGGCTGCTGTTCAATCCTCTCTCGCAATAAGTAAGTTAGTCAAGCATCAACGCTTGCCACGAAATCCATGTTGCACAGGAGTTAACAGATTGTGTGAATCTATGTGGCTTAACAACCTAACCCGAATTATCTTTTCAAGTAACTTAACGACAATGCTAATTAGACTGACAGGCCGGTAGTTAGATACGACCTGTCTCTGACCATCCTTAAATATAGGACTGACAATAGCATCTTTCCAATCCCTAGGGGGTTGATCGAGTGAAAGGGACATGTTGAAGAGTGTAGCAAGCGGTTTTGAAATAATGTTCGCAAGAGATGACAGCAGCCGTGTATGTAACCCGTCAGGACCCGGTATCTTAACAGGTTTGGGGTTAGTTATCAAGGGAAGGACAGTTTCCTCAGTCACCTGTACAGATTCAATGGCTGGTATCTCGGTGTGATTGGGACAAGTATTTGTTATAATAAACGTAGAGTAGCCTTCGCTAAAATAATTCGAAAGAGTTTCAGCTTTGGCCCGATTTGATTCAGTTAGTATATCTGAATTTTCGTGTAACAGTAACGGGGTAATACCATCACTACGTTTCATTCGTCATTTCGTTTCGGACAAGTACGGCTATCATATACCAACTGTCGTTCGTAAGTAGTACGGGATTTAGCTATGGTTTTCTTACAACTATTCCGGAATTTTCGGTACTCACGTTTAAATGATGCATGACCTGTCAACAAGAATAAGTCCCAGAAGTGTTTCCTACGCTTTAACAGCTTCCGAGTTTCCTTATTAATCCATGGAGGGCAATGCGATAGCTTACGTGCTGACATGGGATAAACGGCGACTTGACTGACTCGAATGTAGCCTTAAACTTAATCCATTCGTCTTCGATCGATCCATCTGCGTCAACCGACCAATCAGTCGAGATAGCACAGTCTCTGATTGCCGGAATATTAGCCCGCCAGATATTGGGACGGGATGGAGAAGATACAAATCGTATACCATGTGTCCTAAACTTAAAGTGAAGTACAACGTGATCACTGTTCACCAGTGGGGGAAGGTGCTGAATATCAAAGACATCCTCACAGTGGTGGGTGAGGGCGAGGTCCAGCAGTGACGGATCATTTTTCAAATCAATGTGTCGGTTTTGTGATACGTTATACAAGTGCACACTGAATAATGGTTGATAAAAGTTCGCTATCGGGACCTCCACCTGGAGCTATAAGCTCTATCCAATTGATGTTCGGTACATTGAAGTCTCCAATGATGAGACAACACTCTGCCATACCCCAAGAATAGGTGTGTCTTAGGATAAAGTCGTCAGCAAGACAACACGGAATACAGTATATTCCCCCTATAGTCACTAACCCATTTCTAGATATAACCTTACAACATGCTACCTCACTTGTACCACTAACATGAGCCTCCGATTTGTTTTCTAATGTAACAGAGTCATTAGAGTCGAGCGAGTGACTCATAACAATGTCTGAAGAGGCTTTACTTTGGGACTTTTGCGGAGTGGTTAAGGTGTTCACCAAAGACTTACCAAGTAAACGGTTATCAGTTTTACCTGTCTTTCTTACTCTTCTACGTTTCCGCGTCATCCATATTCCATCAGTCGTAGCATCTACATTAGAACTACTCGGGACAGTAATTGTTTTATTTGGATCACCAGTTGCTACTGTAGCAACATGGCCATCAATATCTAATGAGGTGTTACTCACTGATTGTTTCGGGGTAGAAATTTTAATCTCGGGTTGCACAGTTAGATGTCTGACTTGCGCCGTGACAGCACCAACGACACTAACGCAATCGTCGCCATCAGTACCAATGTTGCCAGTACAGCCCTCATCAACCTTCTTATTAGCCAACACCATGAAGCTAATTGCTTCCTGGATGAGTGATGTTTTGCTCGAGCGACAAAAACTACAAAGCCAATGAGAGTTGGGCTTCGAGCACCCTTTATATGTAGCGGGGCTTAATCGGGTGCACATCTTGTGGAACCACTTATTACACTCGCCACATTGCATCCCTTCCTCCACAGGGAATAAGCAATATGGTTGTCCACATTTATGAACAGATTTGGCCATCTTGAAAATCAACTACAATGGTGATACAAACAGGATATGTAAAAGAATTCTAAAACCTTGACTAAATATAGCAAGTAAAAGTCGACCAAGTATGCTTCAATGCAATAAATGCACAAAAGCAAAATCAAAACACTCAGTGCGATATCACTTTAACTGGATAGGATTCAATTAAAGTGTAAACAATAGTTTTGATGAGTAATTTACGATCAAAACAGTTAATTAACTCAACGAGAAACAATACCACTGTTCTTTTAGATAACGCGCGCTGATATAGTTCAACATATGTTATAGGGGATCCGAAATTGTTTCTCAACGTCAAGGTGGAAGCGTAAAGAAATCAGCTCATCACAAACACATTGCTTTATGAAGAGCGCCTGATACAACATTGCCGCCACCGTCATCGTAATGTCTGAATTCGACTTGACAAAGAAGATAAGTGGTTTTCTAGATAAACACTTAACCTTACCATTGCTGGAATACATATGTGTCAAAAATGTAAGTTATTCAGAATGTTTTATGGCTAGATATATGATGAAAAAAGCATTCTGAAGACTAAATGGGAAGTTCTTTTGGGGACTTCTATGGTTGATTATGCGGCAGATACTTATAGAAGTATATACGAAACAGAGCCTCCAAAAGGTTTGACCAAATTACTATTCTCATTTGCCAGGCTTACTTGACAAGAGAGAAAAGGTCTTAGAGAGTATTCAAGAAACGGAGGTTAAGTTAAAACCAGTGAAGGTAATATTTAGTCAAGAAACAATGAAAGAGGTTGCCCAATGTAAAAACGCCAAAGATCTGTTGACTAGTTTAGAAACTAAATACAACTTCAAGACAGAGATGCTTAACGACATGTTTGATGCTGCACGGGTAAGTTGATTACTATAGTTCTACATGATATGATATATGCAAAAGAAATAGGTGATTTTTTCTTCATTCACTATTTCCAACATAAATTTGAGATGTGCTGGTCCTTCTGTTTGTAGGTATTTTATGATGCCGGAAATTACAACTTATCATCTGAATATCTAAAAATAGTCCGTCAACTTGTAACCCCCGGTACACAAAGACATTTGGATGCCAGTTGGGGCCGCCTAGCCAGTGAGATTTTGGTCCAAAACTGGGACGAAGCATTGGAAGATTTAGAAAAGTTGAAGGATGCTATAGATTGTCAAAACGAAGACAGAGTAAGTATCGTCAACCTTTTTTGCATTATGTTCAAAAACTTTAACTTTTACTTATAAAAAGCGTTGTATATTATGAGGGAACAAGTAACCTAGTCTTATTATCCTTCGCGTGGTCGTATGTTTTTAAGGTGTTGATACCACACGTTGTATGTATATTTGTCAGTGCGAATTCAGCATCATGAGATAATATAGTGTTTTATTATGCTGAACTGTTTAATATAAGTAAATTTGTCGTCAAAAAGATGAGTAGTCGAAACCAGTTCTGTTGAACATTCATCTAAATCCGTAAAGTTTTTTTGCTCTACATTTCCATATCAGATTAGCCTCAATGATTCATCATTCAGTCCTGATCGTAGCCAGTACCTTGGTTTGTTTATCAGACTTGTTTATTGTAGTAATTTGATGGAGCTGAGTTAGCTGATAATTTTCTTCCTCTTAATCTTGCGATAACAGGCAGGTCTATTGAAGTATGATGAGACCGGAAGCAATCAACTTAGGGTTCGACCGTTTTAGGGTGTCGTGATGGTAATGTGGTTACCTTAAACATCCAGCATTTGTAGCGAAGTCGCATCCTCGCAAAAAAGAAAGGGGTTAAATGTCAATCCTAATATCAACATACTTCACCTGACCTCGTGGATTTCTATCACCAGTGGTAAAACCTTGAATGTATGGGTATAATCAGTCAATCAGCCATAAGCGACCTAGAACATGACATGTGTGTATCGTTACAAGTTGCCATACTATGCCAGTATTCTGTGACGAAGTTGTTAAAACAAGTGTCAGTGTAGTAGAATTGATATTAGTATCAGCAGTAATAGAAAAGATTAGACAGACAGTGCGACTTAAGAATGAGTTCATGAAATAGGAATTTTGGGATGATTTTAAAGCTCGAGATCTAACGTAAGACAAAGAGGAAATAAATTTGTGCTCCATTATCAGTGGTTTTGAACAACGTCACCCATCTCCAACCTTTGGTTTCGTTGATTAGTTTAAGTCCAACCAAGCAGTTTGCACGGGTGTAGTACACCAAAAACTACTCAAAAAAGGTTTATGTGGTTGACTTCGAGCAGTTGTTTCTTGAGCTCCGCAGTCGTGCTCCCAGGTCGACAACAGCACTGTCAACCCTGTTACGTAGAGTTATTTCTGGTCTCCTGACTACATGTTAGAGCCTTCAATATTCCAATGTCTTGTTAAAGCAGATGACAGGTTTCTTTCTATGGGACTCTTTAATCTTGTGCCACTGGTACATGCTGCGTCTCCAAAACTTGTATCATGTGCGGTCTTTCACTTGACCAGCCAATATGGAACAGTGGCTCTATCCAACCCTCGTTTATCTGCAAACTTTACTTCTCGATACCTTGCTGTATGTAAACTATTTCATTCAGAAGCGGAACAGGCTCACGTTGATTAGATTCTAGTAGACAGTTGGTTAAGCAATAAATATTCAGAAAATAGGGACATTCCATGGCTATTTCGTCTCCATATACACTCCTACCGACTAAAATTCGGGTAAATAAAAAGATTGGTTTGTACAGGAAACCTTTGGCCGTCAACAAGGTAAGCGCCCAGACATAATACTCGTCGCCAGTGATTATAGTCCCTCCGTACTTAGTCCAAATTAAGCTGGAAAATATTCAGGTGAATCTCACGGCATCTTCGCTCAGTGAACATATGACGACAGTCGTGTTCTTGTAAATATCCTCAGATACCCATTTATTTGTAGTAAGCACCAACTTTAAGTATAAGAGTAGACACCTGTCATGATGACCCAAAAAATCAACTCAATAGCTCATATCACCATCAAGCATCGTTAGGACACATGTTTAGACCCTAATCATGCTTTGGTCAGAGCATGGTAAACTCTGTAACTGCGTTTCTTGTATGTTTAGTAAAAAATTATGTCACTGACTAGTCTTATACGAATGTTCGTTTCACAATAAACGACATTTGTTACGTAAATGTTGGTGATACTGCCTGGTTACCTAAACCTCAGTAAGTCAATTGAGACTTAAAACAATCTTTGAGTTTTACATTGTTGAAGTAATTAATGTCCTACTTGGTCGACGCTAGCAAATTTGGAGCCTGAAAATGTTTTCCCTACTGTCGTAAGATCAACTCAGTTTTATTAAAAATCCAAGGTAGTCAGTCACAATCAATCAAGAACCTATGCGTCAATGATTGTGACGACTGTTCAAGGCAATACTGATAATCCTTGTATAGCTTTCATACGAGATCATCTTTTCTGTTATGAAAGTAAAAAATTTCCATTTATACCTAGTCATAAGTATTATTTCAAATTGATTCAAAAGAACTCGACTGCGAAATCAAACTATTTCCAAATGAGTTAGTGTTAATTAGTTCATAATGTATAAGAAAATAAACAAAATCTTTGTAAATTTTCAATTTTATGTATTTCATCGGACAGTCATAAAACGAAATAATTAGTCTACTTCACTATGAAGTTGGGATTATTCACCTAGTTTTGGACATCAAACTAAGTAGTCTAATTATCTTGTTTAAATCGATATGCATCAGATTACAAGCTCATACCATAATTTTGTATGGTCACAATTAAAGAATCGTAAACCTACTCGAAATCTACAGGGGCCTTATTTTGCAACTTTATGTGTCTGCCGTTCTCGAGAACACTCAAGTACTACTTTCCGTGACATAAAAGTCCTTTGGGATCATCAGTAGTTAGGTCATCAAGTCTTTGATGACTGACTGTAGTCTTGGATTGTCGGTATTGGAGTTTTCAGACTGGGTTAAAAATCATTCATTCAATCACACAGTCATTCGTGACGTAAGACTTGGTACGGTTGTGTGTTGTATCAAGTTATCAAATCATATCAATACAGTTAATCGAAGTTAACACAATAAATCAAGTTATGTTGAACTAACAGTAGTATCAGTTCTAGCCAAAAAGTTTAATATGAGATATCAGGTTCAAATAGAAGGAATGAAAGCATGAAGCAATATGGAAACTTAAAATCTATGAGAATATAAAAATGAATGCATCTGAACTGTTTTTTATTTTAATCCATATCAACTAAAGTTTCCAACCAATAGTACTGCACCTAATATTACAGCTCAACTTAAAAGTCAACAACCAGCATTACGTACTATTTTGGGGCTTCCTGACTGCTTACCTACTCATTCTTTTAGATACATCACTAAATTACGACTCCAATGCAGCACCTTTACTTGTCGATAGATTTTCTCTTCAATAATATTTCGCAATTGTTTCCGAAAATTAACAGTTCATTGTATTTGTTTGTGACTGATATCTAGTGATTGACTTACTTTGTAATACGTTTACGACAATAATCATTAAGTATTATCCTGTTGTACTGATTTATACTACTACGTGAAAATAATAGTAATAATATTAATAATAATAATGGTTTTATGAGTTCAACACAGTATGGCGATTGAGATGATTTCTCATCGGCTGACTAATGTAGGTGCATTGTTTAACAAACAACCTGATACCTTGAGTTATTCACGTTACTTGATTTAATCCTTATAAAAAAATTGAAGAATATGTAATAACAGATTCATAGATTTTCGCTAAATATTCATATATAGTTGAGGTCATGAGTCAATTGAAGCTAGACCACCACGGAAAACCTGGAAGCACTGGACGGCCGTTTCGTCCTATTGTGGGGCTCAGCAGTGCGCATCCACGACCCTGCCTCGCGGGATTCAAACCCAGGATCTATCTGTGTCGCGCCAGGCTCTTAACCAACTAGACCACTGAGCTGGCAGGCATCCAGGGGTGTTAATGTCTAACTTCAGCTGATCCACGAAATTGAGCGACACATCCACCATTGTCATCAGTGGAGTTACTATCTCACAACTGACCCGGTTGAACTCCACTGGTCACTGCTTCTCACTAGAACTCCAGGATATACCTCTTGAAGTCAGTCACTAGTGAGTATAGGTTGATTAATATCAGAAGGGGGTTTTGTGGAGATTGTAGTAATGGTGGTCTAGCTTCAATTGACTCATGATCTCAATTATTGAAATTACTACAATCTCCACAAAACCCCCTTCTGATTCAAATATTTATTACTGTTTCTGAATAAATTAATGCTTCTACTACTTGACAATAACTTTTTTTGTGGCTGGTAATTCAGTTTTATAATCAATGGCGAGTTTATTTGCTAGACCCCCTCTTGATCTTTTCCTTGAATTCTACTGCTTTGAAAGGATTTGTTGAATTTACATTATACTATTAAATGGATTATCATATATACAATTATATTGTTCCAATTTAAAGTTTGTAATTTTTTGTAGCTTAAATTCACTTTGATATTTTATCTTATTTCATTTCTACAACTAGCCTGCATCTCGTACATATTTGATACAATTACAACAGCGTACATGGATGTTACACTGGTCACTTTTTGTTTTTTTTAATCATCCACAAGGCAAAGAAAAATTAATTGAATGGTTTATGCAAAATACAACGTAAATTCTTGAATTTTAGTTATTTTCACTTTATATATATGTATAACATTGTAATTCTCAAGTTGTGATGGTTTCTAGTAGATTTTATTGATTATAACAATTTTTTTATAATCATACATTTATATCGAGTAAGTAATGCAGTTATGAAACGGGTACTTGGTAAGGATGGCAAATCAATTGAGGAAGTAGTGAAACTTAATCAGTTGAGATGGCTGGGACATGTGTTCCGCATGCCCGACCACCGACTGCCCCGACGTGCTATGTTTTATGGTGTAGGAGTAGGTTGGAAGAAAGCTAGGGGTGGCCAGACCAAAACATGGCAGAAATCCATGAAGTCACTGACAAGTGGACTGAGTCATGTTGGTAGGTGTAGACTAACTGGTTGGGGACCGCGAGATGATAGCAACCGATGGTTAGAGACCTTGAATGATATTGCTCAAAATCGTTTGGAATGGCGCAGGTGCATCCACTCTCTGTGTTCTCTCAAACTCTAATCTTCTGAATTCTTCATGTCCTTTATTTTCTTTCCCAATTTATTCCACTGGACTTTACTCCTTTAATAACGTCATCAAACATTAATGTCCCCTATCTCTACTTATACTTTCAGTACCTCTACCACTATGGGATTTGAATTGATAACTGAATCTCTGTGCTAATGTGGTATGGCAACTCGAACTGATGTACGTACGTTCGAAGTCCCACGTTGTTACTGATTGACTGACTGATACATTTATATCGGATACCCAGTATTCTTTTTTTAATGTAGTGGATAGTTGTTTTAAAATATAATAATTCAAAAGATCAAATAATTAAACAACCCGTTAGATAAGTATTATAATTTTTCTTACTTTAATGTTAGGTAACAGTCACTTTGAAAAAAATTTTCTTTTCTAAGATCTGTGTTAATTCTTTACTTTTCAAGTATAATTCTTTTATTTATTTATTTAAACACATGGATATTGGTACAAGGGGGCACCAGATATATGTGCATCACGCAATAACTATAAGAATGGGAAGAGAAAAAGAATGTAAGGTGCGTATAAAAAGAAAAAAGAACAATGACAATCACAAATTGGTGTATGGTAGTGAAATAATATAATGAGGGAAACGGAAAGGTACAATCAGAAAGAATTCTTTCAGTTAAAGAAGTTACGACCACTTCTTATGAAGAAAGTAAATGAAAGTTACAGCCGGATCACCACTGACTTCTATTGTGAGCCATATCTGATAACGTCTCTAGCCACTGTGTTGTACCATCTCTAGGACCCCAACCAAGAAGTCATGAAGGACCATCAGAAGCCAGTCCTGTACAGATTTCTTTCATAACACGACGCCATGTCATACACTGACGACCTCTCTGCGTTTGCCAACCAGTCTCAGCGTCGGCAAATAATGCACGACGAGGAATTCTCTGGGACAACATTCGTAGAACATGTCCAAGCTACTACATTCGATGTTTCAAGATAGTGACACCAATTGGTTTATCGTCTCTGTGCCCGAACACACGACGCAGAACCTCCTCTGCATTATTAACATGGTGTTGCCACTGAATGTCAGCAATCCCCCAAATGCCCTGGTACGGCCGAGAGTGGAAAGAGTCCGCTCTCCCTCTCGAAATGCTCTCGCACGGTCACGCGTATACAGCCACTGCCAGGGAAGTCCTAATCACTTACCTTCTCGTGGCGGGAGTGTTGTGTACGAAAGTGATAGGAGGAAAAGTGAATCTCCGGCATCTTAACCGGGTTGGTGGGTATGAAGGATCCACCTAGGGGAGTTGGGAAACCCTGATTCAAAATGAATGATGCATATGGGCTCCAGTATCCTGAAGGAACAAATGGCGTATGAACTAATTGTTGGTCACCGTCTACCATAGGACTGTATCTCCTGACGTTGCTCCACTGTTTTGTGGGTCAGACCTTTAGGTCAAAGGCTCGGAGTGTGGCCCCCTAAGAAAACCACCTGCTTCGGTCTGGGCACTCGGGTAGTATCATAGCGCTCATACAATTGAAATGAAATGACAACGATTATTTTCAATATAAAAAATGAGGTGTATATTTGTCCATTTTTTTAAATCATAGTAATTAATAGTAGAATATGATATAACAGGAATGACTTTTGTTCTTAAGTATCGTCAAATTTACTTTAAAAATAGATCCGCTTTTGATATACATATTCTACTTATTGATTCGAGTTGTGCAAGTTTTTAGGTTTTGAGTACCTCTTTACATGCCTTAATTTAAACTTTTGGGTAATATCACTTCTCTTCAGATGAAAATTGCTCTGAAAATGGAATATAACAACGTAAAGTTGATAGATAGATCGTTTTATTTTGGTTGGGAACCTGTTATATATATATATATATATATATATATATATATATATATATATATATATATATATATTAATTTGATTGAATGCAGTAAAAATGTTTGAATTTAGCTACGTTATTTTTTTGTAATTTCGAGTGCTTTGGAATTATAAGTATTTATGCAGCTTTATTATAAATGATTCTTATGGTAAACGTTAAGTTATGAAGTAAAACTATGAGTGGAAAACTGGAGACACATGTTGTGTACATGATTCCGATCAATTTACTGCTCTTTATAAGGTCTGGTTATTGCATGTCATGGGTTATAGGATTTATTTACCAGTTTTTAAGAATTACTTACCAAGGATCAGTCAATAGTGATCTTAACATTTTATTACATTTTATCTTCAGTAATTATTGCAAAAAACCATTGCAATTTTTCGTTTATAAACTAAAATCTTCCTTTTTTTTTATAAATAAATAGACATTTGAACGCTATTCAAACGTTAGCGCCACATTTATTGCGTTATCTTACTGTGTGCGTAATCACTAGTACTGATAAAAAGAAAAAAAATCTTATACGTGATTTAAAATATCTTATTCAACAGGAAAGTTATTCTTATCGTGATCCAGTTACTGAATTCTTTGAGTGTTTATTTGTGAAATTCGATTTCGATGGAGCTCAACAAAAACTTCGAGTTTGTGAAACTGTAAGTCTTTTTTCTCATTATTATCGTTGTCTATTTAACTTCAAAATGTCAGATTTACTGTTGAGTAATTAGTCGGTGGTAGTCGGTACGAATGTTATATAGATCAGTTCAGTTTTTTTTCACTTGATATTGTTTTATTTGAATCTTCACATTGATGTTTAGGACTGCAATTGTTCAGTCTGTTATTGGCATATGTGCATACTGTGCGTATGCCTCGATGTTGCCTTAATTTACAAGCATTATAAACAATATCAAGTGAATTAAACTTCACCCCATTGCACAAGCAAGTGGCTATCAGAACTCAGTAGCTAAGTGGATAACGCGATGGTGTTTGGAGCGGACGGTACTGGGTTCGAGTCCCGGAGCGAACATCGACTCTGAGATGCAGGTGCATCCAGCTGACGAGTCCCAAATAGGACGAAACGCGCGTCCTGGATTCCGCTGCTAGCCACTATCCATCTTAGTTCAGTTTTTTGTTTGATATTAAATTCGCAAGTTTACTGTATAATTTAACCTCTCAGACCAGCAATGTTTGATAAAATTAAGTTGTCTAATCTAATAAACAGTGTTTGTATATCAATCAATGATATATATATATATATATATATATATATATATATATATATATATATATATATATATATATATAAATGAATCTACCGTAACAGAGTGCTCATGAGGCTAAGCATAAAATACAATTACTCAAAGAAAGTCACTTAATAACGTGTCGGTACCAAAAATGTTTTTCAAATATTTCACGGGGTCATAATCATTTTTGTCAACTGGAAAAAACATTGTTGTCTAGCTTTATAAATTAACATTTTCAAAGAGAGAGAGAGTTATTTTCCTTCTTAAAGCCTAAAGATGTTCATGCAAATACTGTACTGATATTGAAAACTATAAACTCATTCCATCTGTCTCATTGAATACAATAAGTTATGGTCAATTAGATTAAAATAACTAAAAAACATATATGGTTGTCATGGTTTTATTTGGAATATTAATATAAAAAAACATCTACACTCATTGTAGTTAAATAGAAAAGAACGTTCTCGGGTTCCTCTATATGTGTGTACTTATTGGTGTTGGTAGTAGTAGTAGTAGCAGTAGCAGCAGCAGCATCTTAGTTCATTAAAATGCACAGCTTTCAATCATTATTAAGTTTAAACTCTGTATATCCTAATTTACTTTGAAAAGTTTGATATCGCATATTATCAATATCCCCTTTATTATCACTTAATTATGACTCAAACTGAATTTACGCAAATGTTGTTCTTTTATATTTCAGTAGTAATGTTCGACAACCATCTTTTCTCTTAGTAGTATCTATACTCATTATTTTTTTCTCCTACACAGAGCAATACAATGTATCTGACTTTTTTTAATACTTTCAAGGTTTTACCAAATGATTTCTTCTTAACTGGATGCTATGATGAATTTATGGAGAATGCTCGTTTACTTATGTTTGAATCATTTTGTCGAATACATCATAGTGTTGGAATAAGGTATGTTAACTGATTGTTTTTCTCTCATTTATTTTACATGGATTAATCATTGAACATTAATTCATCATAACTTATTAGTCTATGCAACTGACCATCTGGTGTAATCTGTTTTGTTATTAGGTCGTTAAAAATTGTTTCAGGGAAAATCCGGATTAATATAGTTCTCTTGCTAGTTGACAATTTACAATAGGGTTTACTTACAATTTTAAGGGAATTATTACTCCTTGTTGGATTCTAACAGAAATGTCATTCAACTTGTAAGTCTAATACTGTTATATCCTGGGACCTATCAATGAACTAATATTATTTATATATTCTTATGGTATAACTATTCGGTAATTAGTTTGTGTCTATTTATATTCATCTTATTATAAGCTTCATTTTGACCTATAAATTATTATTATACTATTTACTGTTCCTAAATTGTGTTCAGTTTATAAACTACCGTCTCCCACGTTCACTGCCACTTCTTGGCTTTATTGTGTGTAAATGCTATTTCCTATTTTTATGATGCGTTGCGGTCCGTTTGGTTGATGTATAAACCCAGTATGCCTGAAATAAATTATTCGTTTCGATTCGCATAGTGGAAGCTGATATTGGTGTTCTTGACTCAAGTGGATGGGCTAGGCGAACATAGGACCAATAACGACGCTAGACTACTCATACCGGTCGAACGTCATTGGTTTAGCATAGTGTGAAGATTGTACAAGTCGTATTTCGATTGGCGGATAAATGTTATATATATTAGTGTAGAGCCATGATGGAAAGCTAATTAAAAAGAAATTTTATCGCTCAATTCGTTCCTTCTTTATTTACCAAATGTCGAAATGGGAATTTCCAGTAATAATAATTGACCGATTGACACAGTGTTTTGAAACTGCAGCATGAGAATAAGTGAATCCTCATTATAAATTATTTGTTAATGAGCATCTCAATTTTGGTTTTATACTAGTCAATACTTGTCAACATGGAGCATCTGATGGTGTCTATTGAACTAAAACTTATATCTTTCACTGTCATAATTAAAGATGTTACCAATAAGTTGTTCAAACTAGGATTGATTTTGTGTGTAGGATTAATTTATCACTAAGTAATAACCAATATTTTGTTCTTTGGTCCTAAGCGCTAATGGAATTCTTTTGTATTCCTGTTATATATGTATTGGTATACAGTTATTTTGAAGATCATATTTCTTTTTTTATCATTAAGTGTACTTGCTGAAAAGTTGAATATGGATGTAGATGATGCAGAAAAATGGATTGTAAATTTAATACGCAACGCTCGTATGGATGCGAAGATAGATTCACAAAAGGTAAAGTAGTATTCGTCTTCTAACTGAATAATTACTGTTATGTAGGAATTATGTATTATTTGAAGAATACGATCCTTTTCGTCGCTTAATAGTGTAATACACTATGTTAAGTTTTATTAAAGCCTTCAACCACATGATGTAGTGACATGTAAAAGTCGATGGTCCAAGACACAAGATTATCTGCAAATACCATATTTAACGAAAATATACGGAATAGGTTATAAACCTCAATTCGTAAGGTGTCTACGGTATTTACTTTGTCACTATACAATTAAAAAAGGGATGCTTCCTAAAGTGGATACATCAAGTTATTTACAACAATATGCGTTAAGTAAATGACAGTTAATAGCTATGTTGAAATTACAACGGCAGACAAAATCTAAATAAGAACACCAAAAATTTAGTCTGTTACAATAAGACAACTGTTCAATGAATATAATAACAATAAGGGTAATTGCTACAAGCATTAAAAAGATGAAATTATAATGTAAATAGTTAGAAATACTACTCAACAACAGATAATACAGGTATTCTCTCGAAAGTTATTAGAATGGAAACTGATTACTGGATATTAGTAAGTAGCATAATATAATATACAAAAGAGAATCGGCAAACAAAAGAATGCAAATTGAGAAAGTGTATATAAACTTAACATTCGATTTTATCCTAATGAATGGAGTTGATCAACAGTACTGGGTTATAGCTGTAAAATATATCACTCTACCTAGTTGATTTAGGGAAGATAACGAAAACGTAGCATATAAGAGACTGTTGAAAATTCATCTGTGAAGTAACACTTTACCACATCATGAAATATAAATTAAACAATCTTTAAGAAATGTTCATATTTCTGTTGCCTATTATCTTGAATCTGCTGTTCCTGAGTCAATAATACTGGTCTCCCAACTCGATGGTATGCCAACGCTTATCGAGGCGCGCAAAATGCTTTTTTTTTCCAAAGCCTTAATCAGAACACGAGAATAAGACAATCGATGTGCCTTATTCATTGTCTGACTGAAAAATGCATGAGTTATAGGGGCGCAACAGTAAATAAGCTTATCCATCCGTTTTACAATGTTTAGTAAGCATATAGTATCCAGAATTTTCAGACATTTTCCCGCTTATTTGGTATGTGAATGTTGTATATTAGAATGTGTTTTTCATTGGAGATTTTATTTCAAGCACTTCAAGTTATCTACATTTGTTCGCTACGAACACTTCAGTGCAAAGCATCTCAACTTGTCTGATGAAAAATGCAAATAAAATGAAGATTGAAACTTAAATCAAAATCTCCATCAAAAGTTACACTCTTATGTAGAATAATTTACCTACTAAATGAGCTGAAAAAATATCTAAAAATGCTGGACATCACATTATTATTGATCACTGAAGAAAAACCCAGATGGATAACTTCATATCACAGAACCGTTTATGCTTTCAACTAAGAATTAAAATTAATTTACAACAGTGAAACATATAACAACAGTTAATGAATCAAATGAAAACTCACAATGAAGAAGAAATTATACAAAACTATGTAAACTAAGGGTTTAGTAAATTCACGTCAGAAATATACTTACTGATGGCTAAAGGAAACGTAATGTTTCCTTATTTATTCTCCTCGTTCTGAAATTATAGATGTTAGTGACATTCAATTGTATGATCTGTACAGTCTCTGTTTGTATATTAAATTTGCTATGTTCAAGGGATTAAGCTATCACCTGCAAACGTAACGCAATTCAGCAAAATGCTAACAGGAAAAGCTAAGCTATTTCACTTCCTCCTTGAACTGCTAACTAGAAGAAGAAGACCAGATTCAGTCGAGAAAATATATAATTCCACAAACAACCCGAAAAAAACGAACAACACATAACTCATGTATATATATGCAGTACGAAAATATTCTTGAAGAACGTCAGAAAATGGCATATTAAACGATGAATCTAACCAATGAGGTTGACAGTCCTTCCAGATGGAAAGCACAAACTGAAAGTAAAAATGGGCACTTTTGGCACGAAATTGAGAAATTCAAATTTCCATTATTAAATCATAGAAATAAGAAGCTTACTAAGTAATTTCTGGGGAGTCAGCCGTCCCAATACAACAATACATAGTTGTGAATATGTTGTAATTATATTTTTCCCTATTAATATCATACCATTAATCTCAATACAGTTAATAAAATTATATAATGATAATACAAATCACGAACTATTTTATACATTTATGTATATAGGGTGTTATTGTAATGGGAACACAGAATGTTTCACCGTATCAACAAGTTATTGAACGAACTAAGAGTAGTGGAACATGTGCTCATAAACTATTGGAAAGATTGCGTTGGGAGAAATCAATCGATACAGAACTGGTAAGTCACATATATATATATATATATATATATATATATATATATATATATATATATATATATATATATATATCTTTTAATATCGAATAATAATACTAATGGTTATTATTATTATATCGAATGAATTTGTTTTTCCATGCTTAATTTATTCCTAAAACTCCCAACGTAAATAGATACATAGATTAATCATGTTTACGCATAATTGCAGTGTGTATTTGTTTGTTTGTTTGTTTGCTTGTTCATTCATGTTGTATACATACATATATATGTGTTTGTGTTTTATAATATTTCTTTTTTTTTTTTCTTATATCTTATTCAACTAATTCCCACTATTTTTCATTATTAGTTGGTAGTCAGTTCGTTCGTTTGTTAGTTAGTTAGTTAGTAAATTATTCAATATAGTTTATTCTAACTACTGTGATCATTGTTGCCCTGTGTAATAACATGCGCGCACGCGCACGTGCACATGCACACACATAGAGGAATAAACAATGATGTACACAGGATCTATGACATTTGGATGTGACATTGTTTCTTTTTATCATTGTTTTTATTATCCAACATTCAATAGATTTGAGTAGGTGGATATTATTATTATTATTATTATTATTATTATTATTATTCACATTGATGAGTTAATTGCCAAATATAATAAACATTTTGTTTATTTCAATATTACGTCTTACTTCCCATTTGAATGTTTTCTATATCATTAATATAATGAATTATTTGATAGGTTATTTTACTAGCTTTTCATTCTTATAAAAGTTTAGCTTGTTCCTTTATTGATTCCCTTTGATTGTAGTGATTTTATTTGGTAATATTCTCTTAGATGTATCTGTGTCATTGTTGGGGATGATAAATCCCGAAAACTTACTTGGTAAATGTCTTATTTTTGTAAATTTTTTTTTTGAAAATGTGGATTTCTCATTTTCGCACCAAAAGCGCCCATTTTTTACCTTCACTTTGTTTCCCGCATAGAATGACCTTTAACCTCATTGGTTGGATTTCTCTTTTAGTACGCTATTTTTTGACGTTTTTCAAGGACATTTTTGCGGCATATATATATATATATATATATATATATATGAGTTGTGTGCTTGGTGGTTCGTGCTTCCGATTGATTGCGAAATATACTTTTCCCTTGACTGAATCTAGTGTTCTCCCTCTAGTTTGCAGAGCAGGGACGCAGTAGAATGGTTTAGTTTATCCTGTTTGTGTTACTGACTTGCGTTCCGTTCGCCGGTTTTTAGTGATATCGTAATCTCTTCGAACGTTGCAGCAATTGCAATACATATCGTTATAGTTTGTAATAATGAGTTCGATAGTTATGTAAGAAGGATGAGAAGAATGAACACATGTCATGTTTATTATATTCTAGACAATTAACTGATTGACACTATTATTGATTGAAATTAATCTATGAATCTGTTGTCGTAATTTTAGAAGGCATAAAGAGCTTCAGAATCCTAAGGGAACAAATGGCATATGAACCGTCACCGTCTACCATGGCACTGCAACTCCTAACATTGCTCCACTACCTTGTAGATTTGACCTCTAGGTCAATGAATCGGGGAGTGACCCTTTATGAAACCACATGTTTCTGTTTGGGCACGCAGGTAGCATCCCAACTCGTTCGCATTCAATGATTTCTGTGGTGCATATATATATTTTGGTGCCCATCTGTTATAATATCATTTTTGGCGGTTGTCATATAAGTACCGTTTTATTTAAATTATTCTTTGGTCAATTCCAAGTTAGCGCTTACTTCGTGATGCAGTTTGATGATTTCCACAATGTAATCTCGTAGTACATCACTAGTAATACCTTCATTGAATTATAATTTTAGAAAGACAGATTTCTTATTCATCAAACAACACCATAAATAAAGAACTAGAATGTGTTCATAATATTTCTCATTGAAATTAATAATTCACGAAGGTTATCGAAGGAAGTAATTACATCTAATGAATAGACATTTTAGTAACATGAACAATTCAAATAAGAAATCTCTTTTCTTCAATCTACAATACAATCGAGATATAATTTATGATCTAATACAAGATAGATTGATTAAATTAATCTGTGTTGATAATTAACATGTGCTCACTAGTGACTAGCTTCATGAGAAAATTCTCGGAGTTCTGGTGAGAAGCCGTGACCAGTGGAGCTAATCCGTGTCGGGTAGAAACAAGTATCTACCTGAGTACAATGGAAGATGGTTGCGCAACTTCGTGGATTGGTTGATGTTAGACCTTAACACCATTGGATGTCGACCAGCTCAGTGGTCCAGTAGTTTGAGCGTTCGTGCGCGAGACTGAAGGCCCTGCGTTCTAATCCCGCGAGCCGAATCATGAATGCGCACTACTGAGGACTCCCACAATAAAACGAAATGGCCGTCCAATGGTTCCAGGTTTTCAATAGTGGTTCATGATCTCAATCAAAACTTGACAATCTTCACAACCCCTATGCTGATAATCTATTCAATGTTTTGTTATTGATTAATTAAATTACACTACATGAACTGTTTTCATCAATTCTTTCATTTTATTTTGTCTTTTTTTTTTGTATTTCATCTTGTAGTGGACCTCTTCAAATCTACACGTCTATTGATTTGGTGATTATTGTCCAGAAAAAAAATTTTTTTTTTCTATTGGTGAATTTTCTTTCTTTCTAAACATTATGAAGTAATAATTATTATCAATGACAAGTATATCCATTCAATTGATATATGTGTACTGGTGTATCATCTACTATCTACGGTTGGTTGTTCGTATTTGAAAATTATCATTATTGTCTTGTTCGTTTGTTTGTTTGTTTGTTTGTTTATGTTTGACTATTGGGATTCATTTTGAAAATATCGTTTAGATAATTCGAATCTATTGCTGTATATGTAAATGAAATTGACAAAACAGATGGATTATGGAAGAGATGATTGATTTTCTTCTATTTCTTATTCTTTCTCTTCTCTCTTAAGATTGACATTGTTTTAATGATACATTATGGCTTACAATTTTGATAATGAATATTCTATCAACAACAATTGATAATGGAACAAAGTTATTATGGAGAGAGAAAGATGATAAATAAATTTAGGTCATAATTTAAATTTCTAATACAAATCCAATTGTTTATTAATAATATTGTAATGAAGTCATATTACATTAAAATAGTGTGAACTTTGTGTTCCTCATTTGAATTATCGTTAATTAGAGTAGATCAATCAAACATAGACAATGTAATACATCATATAAGTGTGTCTAAGTCTGATTTACAATAATCTGACATTATCATGTTTAATAAGGCGAGTGAAAGAACTAAAATAATATACGGAAAGGAGGATGATGGTTATATTTATTTCGGTTATAAAGTAAATGTAAAAACGTACTTCTGCTGGAATTATTTGCTGACTTATTTATGCCTGTTACGCCTCATTGAGGAGTATAAGCCGCTCACGAGCATTCTCCATCCAACTATATCCTGCATTCTCTTTTACTAGTTGTTTCTAGATTATATTCATTCTATTAAAGTCTGCTTCCGACTCTTAACGTACTGTGTCCCATGGCCTCCCTCTTTTCCGTATCCCTTCAAGATTCCAGATTAGCGCTTGTGTCGTAATGCAGTTTGATGATTTCCTCAATGTATGTCCTATCCATTTCTATCGTTTTTTCCTAATTTCCTCTTCCACTGGAATCTGGTTTGTTCTCTTTCACAGTAGACTTACTGATAGTATTTGGTCAACGGACATTAAGTATGGTGCGTAGATAATTGTTTAGAAATACTTGTATGTTTTTGATGATGGTTTTGGTAGTTCTCCAAGTTTCAGCTCAGTATAGTAGAACTGTCTTGACGCTCCTATTAAATATCGTGACATTGATATTGATTGATAACTGTTTTGAGTTGCATATGCTCTTCAACTGTATGAATACTGCCCGTTCTTTTCCACTCTTCGCCTTTATGTCTTCATCAGATCCTCCTTGTTCATCGATGAGACTGTTCAGATACGTGAATGTTTCCATCTGTTCCAGAATTTCTCAATCGAATGTGATCGGGTTGGTGTTCTTCATGTTGTATTTGAAGATCTTGCTTTTTCCCTTGTGTATGTTGACGTCTACTGGTGCAAAAGCTTCTACTACACTGATCGTATTCATCTACATTTGTTGGTGTGTATGGGATAAAAGATCTAGGTGATCTGCACAGTCCAAATCGTCTAGTTGTAAGCAAGCTGCCCATTGTATTCAGTGCTTCCCCTGAGATGTGAAGATTTTCATAATCCAGTGAGCTACCAGAAGAGAAAAGGGAGAGTAGTCAGCCTTGTCAGTATCCAGTCCTCACTTTGAATTCGTCTGTCAGCTGTCCTTCATGCACGTCTTTGCACTGTAGTCTGTCGTATGAATTCCGTGTAATGTTGACGATCTTCTCAGGTACGCCATAGTGTCGAAGAAAGTTTCATAAGCTTCTCCTGTCTACATTTTCAAAAGCTTTCTCATTGATAGGTGGTTGTGTGTGTGTTACTATGACAGATTTTAACTCGTTTCACCTTACATTTCCACAGGTAATTGACAATTATTCCAAATTAGTTCAGTGATAGGTCCGAATCTATCCATATGAGTTAGAACGATTGACAATCACTTCACGAAATGATATGTTTTTGTTTAATCGAATCTTCTATGGTTTTCTATATTGTACATGAAGTTAGTTGGTATCTAAGCATGCCTTATACACAGAACTCATCTATTTCAGTCGAAGGTTCACGTTCTTGTCATTTCTAATGATAATCCTGTACCTAATTTCGGCATCCCGCTATCAGTAATACAAAGATATATGTAATCGAGTAATTGCTGAAGAAGATACCATAAGATGCAAATGGACGACTGAAGGCTACGTATAATATAAATACTTTGTAACTTGTCGCAGTTAGTATATATTTCTCTCTATTGTTGTGTTTTTCTGTATAACCGAGTTATTCGGACCAACGCTAAGTGTGTTTCTGTAATCAAGAGAACTGCTCAGCAATCAACTTTATCAGGAAAAATAAAGTGAACTAATTGATAAACAACTACGCACGTTTTACTTAACATATATAGCGATGTTTTTTTATTTATCCTTTAAAAGTAAAAAAAAATACAGATGTTTGAAATCTAACTAGACAAGATATACAGTAGTTTTTCAAATGTTTAGCCCCCGAATGCCCTGGTACGACCGAGGGTTGGAAGAGTCCGCTTCCAAAGAAGTTCTACTCACTGTCTCCTCGTAGTCGGGGTGGCCCCCTAAGAAAACCATTTGCTTCGGTTTGGGCACCCGGGCTGTATCCCAGCCGTCACACAAATCGAATGACTTGTGTGGTGCATATATATTTGGTGCCTTACTGTACCAATGTTTATGTGTTTAAATAAATAATGCTGATATGATAGCCAGTTAAATAATTTTCTCTTCACACCTGATATGTCAATCAGAATTTTATCTGAAAATCGTTCAGTCGATAATCTTCGTTTATCACTTCAATAATTATTATCTTATCACTAGAACTTGATAACTAACTAGTGTACATATCTTCAAACCAATGGTTACCATGTTAACCGTCATCTGTGATTACTTAATGAATAGTTTGTTGTAAAAGCTTTATTTCTATCAAAATTAGTTAATAGAAATTAATTTAGTTTTGTTATAGGTGGTGATTAGTAAAGAGTATGTAATTTAGTAATGATTATGACTGTTGAAAAAAATACAGTTCTGGAAGAAAGGTAGTTTGATAATGTTATGTTGGAATCGCTTATTACTTATACTTGGAAAGACAAGAAAACATTGTAATTCCCATAACTCGAAGTAAGAACACCAAGGCTGATACAAATGAAGATTTATTAACCCCGAAACACAACGATGACCCTAGTTGAAAATAAACGCATATATTGATTGTATACCCATTTTGCTTATTAATTAGAATGAAATCACATATATGAAATAATATCCAGAACTATAACAAACTACATGTTATTGTGAGAATAGTACATGTTAATTGAGTACAAGAATATTGTATCTTGAGCAGACATTACACTCAAATCAATTAATGTTTTACCAGATAAAATACCAAACTGAGGAAAACAAAAATACACGATTAATCACTGGGTGGTGATCAATGTCATGTCCTTCTTAGTGCAGATCAAATGCCGTCAACCAAATTACAATCTAGCCACTAGTCTAGGTGACTCGACATTGCGTTCATTATGTTAAGATAAAATAATCGTTGAAGGTAGTCAACAGGAAGCTGTGTGACACGGTATTAAATCTGTCAGGGAGCATCAATTCCCTCAAGATTACAGGTACACCTTACTGACGAATGCCAAATAGTATAAAACACGAGTTGAAGGTTTCCTGTTGATTATCTCCAACCACCATCTTAAACACAAATACTACATTGAGTAATCATTATATTGAATTAATAAATGGAAATAATGTTGACCAAATATCATAATGAGTATAAAAATGTAGTTTGACCTGTTTTTTTTGTTCCCCCCCCCTAATCATATCAGATAAAATTCTAGGAAAAATAATTTATTTATCCTCATTTTTGTTTGTTTTGTTAATGACCTTAATATACATTAATAATTAATATAAAAATAGTATATGACACTTTAATAATAAATCTCTTGTGATTTAATGCAAATATTGAAGTTCTTTTTTTTTTTTTACTTAATAAGGTTATTTATATAAATACCATTGATGAATATGTGTGACCGAAATTTATATTTACTAGATTCTATTTATGAGTAGATTGTTACTAGATCTATAATAAAAATGTAGACCCATAGGATATGAATATATGAATTGAAATATTATCAGTCTTACCTGATATGTCATTGTGTTTTAGTTTCTTATATCTGGAAAACTGTTTTATTACGTGATGTTACTTGAAAAAATCGTTTCATTTATTCAAATGTTGTAAAGTATAGGTTGAGTATTTATTTATTTATTTGAATACATAAATATTAGTGCAAGGGGGGGGCACCAGATATATATGCATCACACAATAACAATAAGAATGGGAAGAGAAAAAGAATGTAAGGTGCGTATAAAAAGAACAATGACAATCACAAATTGGTGTATGGTAGTGAAATAATATAATGAGGGAAACGGAAAGGTACAATCAGAAAGAATTCTTTCAGTTAAAGAAGTTACGGCCACTTCTTATGAAGAAAGTAAATGAAAGTTACAGCCGGATCACCACTGACTTCTATTGTGAGCCATATCTGATAACGTCTCTAGCCACTGTGTTGCACCATCTCTAGGACCTCAACAAAAGCCAGTCCTGTGCAGGTTTCTTTCATAACACGACACCATCTCATACACTGACGACCTCTCTGCGTTTTCCAACCAGTCCCAGCGTCGGCAAATAATGCACGACGAGGAATTCTCTGGGACAACATTCGTAGGACATGTTCAAGCTACCGAAATCGATGTTTCAAGATGGTGACACCAATTGAATTATCGGCTGTGCGCCCGAACATGAGATGCCGAACCTCTGCATCATTAACATGGTGTTGCCACTGGATGTCAGCAATCCTTCGGAGACAACGATGATCAAAAATAGGAAGTCATCTAACATCCTCAACTTG